CCTTCCCTCCCTCCCTCCCTCCCTCCCTCCCTCCCTCCCTCCCTTTTCAAACAACTCAAGGTGGCAAATCTATCCAACATGCTTTCCTCCTATTTTCAGAGGTGGGCGTCACATAATTTAACAACCAGTTTGCTTAGTGCAGAACTAAAAATGTGAGCGCGCGTTCCAACCTGTTTCTACTTGCTCTTTGAGTTTAAACAATGAGGAAATAATCTGAGGAAGGAAAATCCACACGTGTTTTTATTTCCTTCCCCTAATCCAGGGGGTCAAACTTGCAGCCTGCAGGCCGATGCATCACTTGCTGGCCAGCTCACCTCTGTTTTAGCGAAGGGGGAAAACGTCGCGATACGTCGTGATGTGATGACAACGTGACACCACACATTTCACACCCCTGCCCTAATCCTATTTTTCTCAATAACTTCAGAGTGTTTCAGTTTACCATTCTTGCACCACTTCATTGATAAACATGCAGTTTTCTAGGCTACACATTCTAAAGATCTACCCTCTGCCACACTACATTTCTGTTTGTGTCTTGAACTCTGCACAGATGCAAAAGCAATTAGAAATGACCACCTCTTTTCCCATTTCTTTTCTTCTTACAATATTGTGCTGAGTACATGTAATCATTACAGGTTGTTCTTTGGCTTACTACCACTCATTTAGTGAGCATTTGAAGGTACAGCAGCCCTGAAAAAAAAAATATACAACCCTTTTTTCATACTTAACGACTGTTGCAGCATTCCCCATGGTCATGTGGTCCAAATTTGGTTGCTTGGCAACTGGCATGTATTTATGATGGTTGCAGTGTCTTGGGATCATATGATCCCCTTTTGTGACCTTCTGGCAAACGAAGTCAATGGGGAAGCTAGATTCGCTCAACAACCTTGTTACTAACTTAACAACTGCAGTGATTCACTTATCAAGTGTGGCACGAAAGGTCATAAAAGAGGGCAAAATTCACTTAACTATTATAATCAGATTTTTTTATGTAACAATAGTGTTTCAATGTGTTTCAAAACAGACAATGTCACAGATTTCAAATTTTGCCTTATTTTATTCCGGTGAAAGGGCCGAATTCTCTTTCTTCTCTATTACAACAGAGATGGAAGAATGTATATGGAGGTATAATATCTTCCCTTGAAAATTCTTTATTCAATAATTTGGGGGAAATGCTTATATCCAAAAAGAGTAATTAACAAACACAAGCCTAGAGGGTTCAAAATAACAATTGCATATTACATTACATTTATATATACAATTGTGAAACATGTTTCCAGATCGGTGGGAA